TATGACATTATCAATTTTTGCCGCGTAGATCAAATCGCGTGAGTCAGAGGGGGGGGGGGGGAAATACTGGAATAGGGGGAAGGTGTGCTAGAAGGGCATAACTGTTTACAAGTTCAAGATCACATTCAGTGGTTGCTGGACACTTTAAGGTGTTTTAATCAATAGAATCAATTTAAAGAAATTCAGATTTTTAATCATTTTCTTATCAGGGGAGCGAGGGGGCAGCACAGGAAAATTCTACCACTTCAAGATGCTGTCTGATTAATTCTGAGCACTTTAAATGTGTTTGAGTAAATGAATGCTTTAGTTTTTGGGGTGGGGTGCCAGAAAGTTTTATGATTTCATTATGTCACTTGGTGTCTGTTTAAGTGTCCAAACTGTCCAATAATTGTTTTATAATGGATGTGAGGAGTGGCCCACTCCCCGTAGAAAATTTTACACTTTTAGATGCTATTTGGTGCTTTCTGGGCACTTTCAAAGTGTATGAGTCAATAAAAAAATGGGAATTCTTTGGGGGTGTCAAAAGGGATGAGAGGGTGAAGTGTGGGGTGCCAGAGGGGGACCAAGTGGCTGTCCCCCAGAAACGTTGACCATATCAAGGTGCTATTTGATGATGTCTGGGCATTTTAAAATTGTCTGAGACAATAAGTGAAATTCAGAATTTGTTCAATTGTTTTGTGGGGGATTTGAAGGATTGCCAACTCTCCAAGAAAATTTTACAATTTTAAGATGATATTTGGTGCATCTGAGCACTTTTAAAGTGTAGGAGTCAATAAAAAATTTGAAAAATATTTGTTTTTCTCAACTTTTTAGGGTTGTCAAGGGGGGATGCCAGAGGGGGAGGTTGGGTGGGCATGCCAGAGGGTGAGTAAAAATCATTGACTATATCAAGGACCTATTTGATGATGTCTGGGAACTTTAAAAGTGTCTGAGACAATATACAAAATTCAGAATTATTTCAATTGTTTTGCGAGGGATGTGAGGGGTGGTCAACTCTCCTAGAAAATTTTACAATTTTAATTTACTATTTGGTGCTTTCTAGGCACTTTCAAAGTATATGACACAACAAAAAATATGACAAAATCGGGGATGCCAGAGAGCGAGGTGGGGTGGGGATGCCAGAGGGTGAGTAAGTGTTAGTCACCGAGAATCATTGACTATATCAATGAGCTATTTGTATTAGATGACGTCAGGACACTTTAAAAGTGTCTGAGACTATACATAAAATAAATTCAGAACTTTTCCATTGTTTTGTGGGGCCCCCCCCCAGAAATTTTACAATTTTGAGATGCTATTTGGTGCTTTCTGGGCATTTTCAAAGTGGATAAGTCAATTAAAAAAAAAAAAATTAAATTTAATTAATTTTTTCAAATTTTTTTGGGGGGTGTCAAAGGGGGGTGCGGTCGCACCCATCGCACCCCCCCATCTGACGGCCCTGTTATCATTACAATTACTAATCTTATTAAGTAAAAATTGTTTCAGTTTTTTACGTGTTTTTGCTTTATGCTTAGCATACTTGATAGATTCCTCCCTTATTTTTACCTTAAATAACTCCCATTAATCTCCACAGTCAAGAGAAACATCTGGCTGAGAAAATATATTAGTTACTAGTATCAAGAATTTGAAATTATTGTCTTTAAGTAGACTATTGTTTAGTTTCCAAATACCACTACCCTTAGCAGGGCAAGATGACAGCTTTAAGCATATTGCCTGGTGGTCACTTTTATAGCTAGGTCTGATATCACATAATTTAACTTGTGACATAAAAGAATCAGATATCAAAAACATGTCTAATCTACTTTTCATAAAAGGAGTTTTTTGTCTATATGTAAAATGTTTTAGATGAGGATGTAAATCTCTCCATACATCCTTTAAATTGTTGTTTTTCATTAATTTATGAATTTTGTTATTTTTGATAACTGAGTTAGGTAGTTTTTTAAGACTTTGTCTATCCATTTCGGGATTGACAACTGTATTAAAATCACCACCTATGATTATTTCACCAAGTGCATGTTCATTAATAACTTTGTCAAGTTTAGTTAAAAATAAATTGCGGTCTTTTTCCCCATTTGGGGCATATACATTTATAAGAGTGAAATTTCTTTTGAAATTTCAATATTAGTCAAAATGACTCTTCCATCATGAAATGAAAATGTATCTATAACCTCTAATTGAGCACCATTTTTAATAAATATACTAACACCACATGATTTATTGTCCTTAAATGAGTGTAAAATAGAATGTCCACTCCATTCATTTGCAATTGTGGGAACTAAATCTAAAGTAAAATGAGTCTCTTGAAGAAATAAGATTGAGCAATGCTGTTGATTGGCCCAGTGAAATAAAGTTTTTCGCTTTGTAGCGTCTCTCAAGCCATTGGCATTTAAAGAGAGAATATTAAGCTCAGGTTTGTTAGTAGTCATTTTTTATTTGTTTTTTGTTGTTAATTTTATTTAAAAAACATTATCCACACATGTTGATAAAAATCATGATGATCAAAAATTTAAGGTGGTTGATCATCTCCATGATGCACTTTTGATTTAAGGTTAAGTTCCTCTGCTGGTGTAGGGGGTGATCTCTGCACCACAGATGTGCGAGAACTTGTACTCTGGGGGGTTGATTGTGTTGTTTCTTTTGTTTTGTCGTCTTTCTTTGACTTTGTGTTGTTTTGTTTCTTGGTTTCCAGTTGTTGTGCAGGTAGGCCTAGTTGTGATTTTGCTGGCTGTTTTGTAGATAAGGGCTCCGCCTGGGTCTCCTACTACATGAGTAATTTGATAAATTAAATAAAGAACTGGATATTTTCAATATGATACCATTATACATATATTTGGTCATTAAGAAGAATTCGATTTGCAAAGTATTTTGCCTCAAAGAAAACATTACTGGAGAACTTTGAAAATGGTATTTGCAATGAGAAAGTATTTTGCTATTTGCACTTAAAAAAAGAATTGGGAACTGCGTATCTTTGAAAACTGGGTATTTGCAATGAGAAAGTATTTTGCTATTTGCACTTAAATGAATTGGGAACTAGGTATCTTTCAAAACTGGGTATTTGCAATGAGAAAGTATTTTGCTATTTGCACTTAAATGAATTGGGAACTAGGTATCTTTCAAAACTGGGTATTTGCAATGAGAAAGTATTTTGCTATTTGCACTTAAATGAATTGGGAACTAGGTATCTTTGAAAACTGGGTATTTGCAATGAGAAAGTATTTTGTTATTTGCACTTAAATGAATTGGGAACTGGGTATCAATCAACTTCACACACATACTATTACTAATGCATAGTTTCACTTTATATTCAACGTATTTATACATAGAGCATATATATGTTTATCTACATTATACATATTGCACATATCTCATGCAGGAACCCCACAAGGAGAAACATATCTTAACATTCTAGTGATCTTCAAACTTGTCTGACAAAAACATACAGGGGCCAATTACTTCAGCTTTACAACTACAGGGTTAGCAAAAACCAGAACAATTTTATGTTAAGATTATTGCAATTTTGACACACCCTGTATTATTCACCAAGGTAAAATAATAAATAAAAACAAAGGGTAAACATTGCTTTTAGCATGTTAACTTCCGATATTGTTAAAATATTACCAAATATAGAAATATTTTCCAGGAACTTAACATGCCATAATCATCATTTGAAGTCATCATTAATAGGCTACGATGTCAGAAAAATGAGACTCTTAATACCTGTATAAGGCTTATTCCAGATTTTGAAAGATTTTCAGAAATAGGCCCCTGTTTTATCAACCCATTTGGCAATAATTGAGTATAACCATCACTTTATCTGTAATTCGCAGTAACAATCTGTAGCTGGAATGTGTAATTCTCGTAACAACAGACTAATGGCAATGCACTAAGACTGTACTAATGCACTAAATTGTACTCACTAGATGCATTCCTACAAAGTAAACGCCATACTTGAACATTAACATTACTTTGCCTAATAAACATTCATAAAACTATTGCTCTTCATAATATAAATTCAGCCATTTGGTTTGCCCTTTCATTAATGGATTTAAAATATAATAATGTGTTTCTTATAGGAAATCTTTATAATCTAAAAAATAAGTGAAAATGTGAAATTGCTCAGGTATTGCCTTCACAATTTGCAGAGAAGAAAAATGAGAGAATAGTCACATACTATCTATTGCAAGACTGGCCCAACCCTCACCATATTTTTATTAAGTGTTTTTAAGTTTCGCAAGGATCCTGCCATTACCGTGGTTTTGTTATCGTGAAAGCCTGATATGACCGTGACAATGCTATATTATATTGCAAGGCCTGTCATGACCGTGGTAATGTTAAAGCCCGATGTGACCGTGACAATGCTATATTATATTGCAAGGCCTGTCATGACCGTGGTAATGTTAAAGCCTTATATGACTGTGGCAATGGTTGTAAGGTCTGTCATGACCATGGTAATGTTAAAGCCTGATAAGACCGTGACAATGTTCACATTCTTGAATGAGATTAGAATTATAGTTTGTGAAAATGAATTATGAGTTAAGGTAGTAGTACATGTAGTAGTAGTCTAGATTTACATATTTAAGGTAGCTAAACGATGAAATTTTTCATTACAGTATTCTCTAATACTAAATGTCACTTAATATAACCATTGCCACGGTCATATGAAATTACCAGTCATGAAAGGCCTTGCAACCATTGTCACGGTCATATTAGGGTTTAACATTACCATGGTCTTGTCAGGCCTTGCAATATAGTATAGCATTAAATATCGCGGTCATATCAGGCTTTAACATTACCACGGTCATGTCAGGCCTTGAAATATAGTATAGCATTGTCACGGTCATATCAGGCTTTAACGTTACCAGAGTCATGACAGGCCATGCAATATGATATAGCATTGTCACGGTTATACCAGGCTATCACGATAACACTACCACGGTCATGGCAGGATCCTTGCGAAACTTTAAAACACTTAATAACAATATGGTGACGGTTGTGCCAGGCATAAGTCTTGCAACGGATAGGGTCTCAGGATAGTATTAAACAAGACTCTTACTCCAACAAATCTCAATGTTACCATGATGCATTTGAGAATATTGGGACCATATTGTTTATGAGAATGCAATTGCAATATTGCAATCCTCATCTCCATGAACAAATATACAGTATTGAAATGAACAGCCATAGCTACATAGTGATTTCATCTGGAATGCATTTATTTGCATCATTTCTGATTTTCCATTTTAATAGATAGTCATTTAGATATAAAATATTCTGGTTTAACTCAACAAATATATATCACAAATCTTTACCAAAACATTGGCCTTTGTGAAATGTGAACTCTAAGAATATAGTACATTCAACGTGTGCTACCTGTGTGACCCAATCAATGAATAGTGTTTATACACAGTATAATCAACACAGATCGGCTTTGATGCCTTCAAAACTGGGCTATTTTAAGGACGATATATTTAGCAATCTGTTAAAACATTCCCATATAGCATTTGAAACCATCCAAACCTATCTGTAAAACTCAAACATTGCTATTACATCCTCTAGGACTTTGTTCGATGCTACTCTTTACTACTCTAACACTCATTGAAAATCAACATTGTTCATCAACATTGTGACTGTACACATTCTATTCTTGAATCCTATTTCATTTGTATAACTTGGGTCAATAGATGGCTTAATTAATATGTGTTATTGTTAAGTTTATGATCGAGTTTCTTGACGAGGGTAATACTTGGCAAGCTTCTCAGCGGGGATTCTCTTCAACATTTCTTTGGGGAAGATTCGCAGCAACTGCCAGCCAATGTCTAGGGTTTCAAAGATTGTACGGTTTTCATAATGACCTGAAAAAGTTCTCGTAAGTTAGTTGTTATTTTATAAGAAAATTCATTTCATTTAGTTTAATGAGAGAACATTTTAAGATCCAGCTAGAATGAACTCATAATTGAAGTAAATATGGAGAAACAGATAATCTTATATTTGAGTCATTGGGACATAGCTTTGGGAAAATATGAAATATTTGTTTGATGGATGGAGGTTCTGAATGAATATGTGTTTTACCTTGGGCAATAAAGTTCTTTTCAAACTTTTGTAAGAACTCTAGGTATAGTAAATCTTCTGGTGTCAAAGCTTCCTCTCCTACCACTGCCTTCATGGCTTGGACATCTTTTCCTATTGCGTAGCAAGCATACTGGAACATAATTTTTGAATATTAATGAAAAGTAGATTTAGTGTTACTGTACCAGACAGCATTTGCCATATTCTACATGGTACAGTTTTTGACTTCAAGTGCAATATCATATTTAATCCATGAATTGAGTTTTTACGACACTTTGTTTTTTGACTGGCATTTGGTGTCAGTGTCTAACAATTGTTAAACATAGTAATTGCAATTTTGTAATGATGCCTTCAGTGTTATCCTATTATAATGATTAACTTCTGACAAGTCAATAAAATACTGAATTCAAGACCTTTTATTATATCTTACATAAGTTACTATATGATTAATGGAAATCACAGAGTGCAGAGAGATCTATGTCCTATGAAGCACCCTGTTTTCCAAAACACTAAGCTTTTAAGTTTTGGAATTATGTAGAACTGTGAAGTGGGGAGGCTTTGTATATGTTGTGCTGAACTTTCACTTTTTATAATTCATGCTGAAAGTGTAAACAATATGGAAAATGTTGCTCCTTCAAGTTCATGCATACAAGACCCCTTAACTTACTTACCAATTGATTAGAAACATCAGCGTGATCTTCTCGAGTCATGCCCTCACCAATGGCAGATTTCATGAGACGAGACAAAGAAGGCAGCACATTAATAGGAGGATAGATCTGGAATGGAGAAAACACAAGATTATGTGTGGACGGAATACAAGAGGCAGGTGAGAATGAGAGTGGTTTTCATGCCTCCATAGCCTATCAAAATGTCACTTATTTTCCATTTCCTCTCTTTTTTCTGAGAAAAGAACATGTAAAATTTAGAGTGTCAACTACATATCTGTTTACTTTATTCCTTGCTTATTCCATTATTTCCTTTATTTTTTATACTAAAACTTGACTGTTTAGTTATCCTTCATGCCAATGCATTACCTGTCTGTTCTGGAGCTGCCTGTCTACATATATCTGGCCTTCTGTGATGTAACCAGTTAAATCTGGGATGGGATGGGTGATATCTAAAACACAACAACATCACTGAATCTATTGATGTACTGCAATATATGCATTATGTTTAGAAAGTGTTTGAAACAAACATATTGGTTACCTGATATAAAAATGTTCTGAAATTATTGTAAATCAACCAGTTTGTAATTGATATATTGCACCGTATGAATATTAAGGTAGCGGTTTTTATTTACAGATACACTTTGAACAAAATTGCACCATTGAATAGAATACAGTTTTGGGGACAGAAAATCCAAAATGGCCACCCTAACATTTACCCACACTGCCCAAAAACTAAGTAGTTCTCAGCTTTCATCTGTAGAAATGTCCCTAAAATTTTCAGATGAATCCATGAAACGGTTTGGCTGCAAACCTGTAGACAAGCCTCGACAGACAAGATTTGAGGACGGAAAATCCTAAATGGCTGCTTAAACATTTACCCAGAATGCCCAAAAACTAATCAGTTCTAAACTTTCATACGTAGAAACATCCTTGAAAATTTCAGATGAATCCATGAAATGGTTTGGCTGGAAACCTGTAGACAAGCCTCGACAGACAAAATTTTAGGACAGAAAATTCCAAAATGACCACCTAAACATTTATGCCTATGCCCACTATGCCTAAAAACTAATCAGTTCTAAACTTTCATAATAGAAACATTCAGATGAATGGATTTCTGATGAATCCCTGAAACAGTTTGGCTGGAAACCTGTAGACAAAATTCATCGGGACTGCCCATCGAACGGGCAAACTGATCACAATATGGCATCCAAGGTTGCCATGTACTGTGTACAGATAAAAAAGTTATGTCTACAACATTTTACAAGTCATTAGTATTCACGATGGATTCCATACTCAAGATATAAATTATAAATCAAAATGATTAATTATTAAATATTTACCATCGTTGGGCATAGTAAGGATGGGGATCTGTGTAATGGATCCACTACGTCCGTCCACACGACCAGCTCTCTCATATATTGTGGCTAAATCTGTGTACATATAACCTGGGAAACCTCTCCTACCTGGTACCTCTTCTCTAGCAGCTGACACCTGGGGAAGGGGAACACACGATGAATTCATATAAATAAAGCTTTTCAACTGCTATGCGATGTAGTATCTACCCAGGATTTTACTTGAACTGGATATACACTGACATTTTATCTGGTCAAAACCAGAAATCCTCAAAACTGTTAAATATTGAGCATGAATTTCAATATTTTCCACTGGCTGCTAATGAATCTTCAATTGGGTAAAAATAGTTCTCAAATGGGTGCATCACTCAGTTGTTTCAAATGCTGGGGAGATTGGGCTATGTTCCCCATATCCCAGTTGTTCAATGGCTCACTGGCTACATTAGCCCAATCATTGTTTCACCATTTCAAATTAACAATAACAGAAACATTTTGGGTAAGAAAGGCAGAGATTATGATCCAACCTACTAACTGAACAAAGCCACGGTTGCAATTTTTGATCATTTAAGAAATAATTTAGTTTTTGAAGAAATGGTTTTACCTCTCGAAGAGCCTCAGCATATGAGCTCATGTCTGTTAAGATGACTAACATATGTTTCTCACACTGGTAAGCTAAGAACTCAGCTGTTGTCAGTGCAATACGTGGTGTAATGATACGTTCAATACTGCAATATAAGACCACAATTAATATATATTAACCATCGTTGTAAATTGTATATTACATGTATTAAGATCATAGCTTTTAGAGGTGTCAAGGAACAAACAAAAGTCGGAATGGTTCGGTTCGGAACATTTGGCTTCGGAAATGAACAATTTCAAAACAGTTCCGGAACAAAGTGACTATGTGTATTATACTAGATTTGCCCCATTTATTGTAGGACAAAATCTAGTCATTTGCAACAAAACTACTTAATTTTGCGAGTCTGTGAACAATGCCTAGATATCTAGCCTGTACAGGAAATAAAAAATTAGATCTACGTGTCCTAGAAGTAGATCTCCCATTTGAACTGGCAAGAAAAACAAAAATTAACAATCAATTCACCTTACGCGTCTGTTATTAGGACCTCACATCTTTGAAGGCACTCTTGTATCGCTGAACCTACGGAACGGAACAAAATCGGGTATCCGTGACACCTCTAATAGCTTTACACATGTATCAAACCTTCTTCTCATTGCAAGGCTATATAGCAAAGTATATAAACATGAATACCGTATGTTTAGGATTTTGTTTACAGTGATGTCCCATCTATAGAGTTGTTCCACTTAACGCTTTTAGTGTAGAATGCTCCACAAGTTTCCCATATACTACTGTATACTTGTAACATACATTGATAACTTACGTGGGGTCATTGGCTAAGTTGAGGAAGAGACATACATTTTCCATAGAGCCATTCTCTTCAAAATCTTGTTTGAAAAATCTGGCAGTCTCCATATTGACCTATAATAGAAAGGGGGGTATAAAGCTGCCTAAATGTAGTCTATCTTTATTTTATATACAACAAGGCATTAACATGACAAAATGTCAGCACCTAGTTGCTCTCAATATTATTAGTTCAATCAAAAGTCAGATTTGAACTTCTGATAACTTGTAGATGATATTGAAAAAAAAATTTGGTCAATTAAAAGCAAATTGAAAAAAGACCCTTTTGACCTTAATAATCTTTTTTTGACCTTGAAAAGGTCATTGAAGTTCAAATCTTAGTATAAAGTCAGATTTGAACTTTTAAAAACTTGTAGATGATTTTGAAAAAAATTGAAGTTAGGCTCAACAGCATTTGTAAAGTTATTGGAAGTTCTAAGAATTTGTTACAGACACCGATCGCCAACCGCTGTAAAAAAATGGAGACCATAACAATATGTCACCACTTTTTGATGGTAACATAACAACTGGACCAAACTATGAACATTTATAAAATCAATGAGTGCATACTGAAGACTATTCTCTGAAACATTATTTTAGAGTCTGTCTGGTCTTACATTCATCAAGGGTACATCTTCTATAAGGCATCACAAATTCATTGTACCACTGTGTAACATTGAAGTTAATTATCATTAATTAATCCTTAATATCTGGATGTACAGTATTGTATTGTATTGTGCTGATACTTACACCCATAGCTGCAAACACAATAGCAAAGTTATCGGAATGATCATCATGTACACTTTTTCCAGGCAGTTTCACCAGACTTCCTTGACGACAAATCTGGGCAGCAATCTACAAAGTATTTATATATACAGCAGGGTTGTTTGGAGGTGGAGAAGGGGGGGGGGGGGGGGGGTGATAAACATAAACATCTACTAACATGTCATTTCATGAAAACTCAATCAAAAAAGCTTTCTCATGTTCATTGCAATATGATTAATAACAATATAAATTACATACGAAGGATAAACAGAAAATGTACAGTATATGTACAATATGTCACCCTATACAGTATTAATTGAGTGCTGAACTCAGCTGTACTCAACAATACAATACTCAGAAATAGATATCAGGGGTTTCATTAGCAGCAGACAACAGGCGATTTTCACCGGTTGTTTCTGCAAAATCGCCTGTTGTTTTAAGGGACTTTTCAACGTTTCCATGTTAAATTTATGATTTCCATTAATTGTTGTTTTTATTTATATAGCCTGTTGTGGGAAGTTCTAGTGAAAACCCTAATTCGAACATGACTGCATTTACACCTTCTATAAACTGTGAACAAAGTCAATACTTCACCCAGTGTGTATCCGGATACACTGCACCTGGTAATACGAGTAATGTGTGAAGTCATAATGGCAGGCCGTAGTAATGGCGGGCCATAATGAATATTCGAAAAATGTAGACCTCAGAGCAAGTGTTATATCAACAAAAACATACCTAAGGGCTATGCACAAAAGCTTTCAAAAACATTTGTGCCTAGCCCTGCTGCTGTATGTATTCATCGATATAACACCTGCTCTTGAGTTTATATTTCTTAAATAAATATCATATTGTTTAAAAACAGCTCATTTGATAGAGATAAGTCAAAATATTTTTCAAAGTTTCAAAATATTGTCCAAAGTGTATGACAGACTTTGTATACATGTATTTACTTGCACTCACTTCATTATGTGGTAGACCATTAGCAGAGAAGATTGGGATTTTCTGTCCTCTAGCAATGCTGTTCATGCCATCTATAGCTGATATTCCTGTCTGTATCATCTCCTCAGGATAGGTACGAGACCAGGGGTTAATGGGTTGACCTTAACGCAAAACAAGTCAGAAAAGAAATTTTCAAAACCATGTCATCTTGACGCTCTGTATAAACTTAAGACAAATTTTTGATTTCTAACAAAAAAGTGGGTACAGAAATACAAAGGAAGAATTAAGTGACAATTTTAAATGAAGGATATTGACATGAGTAATCTTTTCTCAAATGATACAATTGATATAAAAGTACATGTATCTCATGTCAATGAATTTGATGATCATTTTTTTAACAAAGGATCTGGTACATGTTTTCAGGTTTACAGTTGTACATTCCATGTTTGATGACATTTGCATTCACTTACCTTGGATATCAAGGAAATCTTCAGCTAATACATTTGGTCCTTTATCTATAGGTTTGCCTGATCCATTAAACACACGCCCTGCAAGATAAATAATATGAATGGTTTAAATGTTTACCATACATTTAATGAACAGAAACAGTTAGAAAATTAGCATTCAAATATTCTACATCCATTAACTCATTGTACATGTACATGTATTGGCAAAACAGAAAAACACAAACTCGAAGTCTCACAAACTACGTACATGCTCCTAATGATACTAAATATACTTAAGTAAATATTTACATCAAAGTAACATCACTCTGGTGCTCCATTCTGTACATATTCTACCAAATGTTTGATATGGGGAAGAAAAGGGGGGCACATAACTGACACATATAGGAGTATGCTGTACATCACAAGGCACACCTGGCACTAATCTTCTTCTAATTTTTATTCCCCAATATGTTGCTAATCGTTATTCTCCACCTCCATAAGGCAAATATTTATTTCCCACCCCTATATATGGCTAAATACCCCTTTCCCCCATTTATGGCTATTCTTTGTATCCTGGTATATGGCAAATTTTTCCCAATTTTTGGCTATTCTTTCTGGTATATGGCTAATTTTCCCCAATATTTGGCTATTCTTACTAGTATATGGCTAATCTTCCGAAATATTTGGAGCATTTTCCCAAATATTTGGCTATTCTTTCTGGTATATGGCTAATTTTCCCCAATATTTGGCTATTCTTTCTAGTATATGGCTAATCTTCCAAAATATTTGGCTATTCTTAATTTCCACAAATGGAGCGAGTGTAACACTAGGACTTGACATGAATTCACATGTACATGTGGTAAACTAACCTAACATGTCTTCAGAGACAGGCATTCTAAGAATATCTCCTGTAAATTCACATGTTGTGTGCCTGGCATCTATTCCTGAGGTTCCTTCAAACACCTACAAACAGATTGTAAAGTGAATAAAAGGTTGCAGTACTAGAATAACATATCGATACATACAGATCAAAAAGGACTCTGGTTTACATATTTGAATTAACTTCCAGCTGTATTACCATTTTTAAACATACATTTTATTGGAGGGTTTGGGTTAGTTCGTATCCTGATTGAAATAATGACATCTTAATACAGTTTTATTTTATAAAAATAATATCTAAAAGATTCTGTCACCTTAGAAATTTGCATTTTTTTCTTCAAAATTTTGCAAATAATATTGCCATTTAAAAACTAAGGATTCTGCGGGGGGTTTGCATCAAAGTTTTGAATTTTGTGATTTAAAAACTAAGGATTTTGCGATGAGTTTGCATCAAAGTTTTTGTGGATTTTGCGAGGATTTTGCATCAAAATTTTTTTTTGCAAAAATAGAAGTCAAGAAGCTAATGAAATATTTTGTTTTTGCGATTTTTTGCATCAATTCAAGTAAAAAACTTCAAACTTGCTTTTTTGCATTTTTTGCGCCAGATTGGGAATTTTGCGATGACACCCAATTTTGCGAAATTGCCACTGACCTGTACAACTGCTTTTGACCCACTGACTTCAAGCACCTGTCCTGATCTCTTGCTGCCATCTTGTAGGGTCAGCTGAACAATCTCAGCATATTTTGGAAACTAAAATAAAAAACAAGTTCTTGAGAATAAACTCTTAAAGTAAACATCATCAACTGGTACATGCAATGACCTGAAATGCACTTTGGGGAGTTTACAGTTAAGGCTTAACAAAGTGGCTGTGTGCTTGGTAGTAAATACATTTAATGAAGCAAGGTATTAATTCAGATGTGACTGCTTTGGTGCAATGATTTGTCCTCAGATGAACGATCGAAATGAACACAGTGAACCAACTGCCCCATTTTTACTCTGTCCAACATGATGTGATTCCAGCTAGGTCCATGCAATGCAATGCATGAGGGAGTTCATGCATCAACAATTTTCAAATCAAGCAATTTATAATGATGCAGCTAATGAATAAGTCAACAATCGCTTTGGAAGGGACAAATTTTCATTGGCCCGCCTAACGAGTCGGTTACTCTGAACGAAACGTTCTGAGATTGCAAAGTCAAAGGTCATGATCCGCTAATTTCATTGGTCGAGGATTACATCATAGCGTTTAGCATCATATTGGCGGAAGATTGCTCGAACAAAATTTGAACAAATTCTGATAAAACTTGTGCGAATCTTGACAAAAATGACAGTTTCTCAGCCTCCGATATTCCACCAGCGCTCGAGCATAGTTACATGATCCAATCTATTCAATAATCAGAAAGATAATCGGAGATTCAAAATTACATTATTTATATTTTTTTTCGATCTTCAATGGCGTCTGAGGAATTTGTGGGAAATCAGTGACATCACTGGTATTGGACGGCATTTCAAACTAAAGATTTCTTTGGATTTGGGGATTATAGTCAAAAATGCCTTGTTGTATATATCTTAATATCATAAATATCTATCATTTGTGTAAATGCAACACTACATAAATGTTTTATAAAGCCGTAGTGCGGCATTGAAAATCACACTCCTGTGTAATGCAATGGGAAAGAACCCGGATGTAGACAAAGTTGTACCTCTCACGAGAGCTCTTCAAATGTGAGGTAACTAAACTGAACTAAACTAGAAATTTATCGCGTATTGGCTTATTGAAACCTCTACGCATCCCGTACTGATCAAGTGAAGATCTGTTAGAGGCTCAAGGAAGGACAAGAACCCAAGAGCATCTACCCTTTAGATTTTGATATTGTGATTATTCATGATGCAGCTGGCAAACCAGTTGGACAATGCTCAGTGTTTTCAAATTACATGCTGGTTGATTTGTAGTCCAACAACATTAGACCTAGCCCGGGCCTCGTTTCTTATCTGACATGTGTTATGGCCCGGCTAGGTCTAACCTCCATGACCATTTTGCCTTTGATGCGTTAATTTAATCGTTCAGCAGGTTTCGACATGCGGAACTAATTGAACCCTGAAAACATGGCAATATTACACAAAGAATGTGATTCAAGCATGCATACATACCTTATAAACACATACACCCCGTCCCGTATCCCCCTTAGACCCTATTGATGCATAATTACGAAAATATTGGAGACAGGTTTGGAATATGACGAAAATGTCGGTCAGTTTCAGTAACATCGAAATTGCAAATCGTTTCAGGAATTAACCGTCATCACGGCACTGCATTAACGAACAGTTGGTTTGCAATTAATAACTATTTTGCGTGTATATACGCGCTATATAAATTAATCAAAGATACCTCGTCGCGTGAGAATAACTTTGTACTAACTGCCATTTTCAAAAAAATTGAGATAGACATGGAATTTTACTATTTGAAACACAGGCTTTCATCTCAGATACATGCCCCATCTCAATTCCCTCTCATTAAGCTAGAATTCAGTGTGAAATTGTACCATCTCCAGACAAACAGCTTATTTCTAATTTCAAATTGTCATATCTGATATCAACTGTTTCAACCAATCAACTCTCTGAGAATTGGTCATGTGACTTGCAAAACTTGGAGTTATAACAATCTTAGATTTAAACGAAGTATGCCAATATGCATGTTATTGTATCTAGAATGAAATAATGTTTTGTAACACAATACCATGCCAGTTTGCATGCCTGGCCTTTCATGTTTTAGTTTTAGAACTATTACAAGTAGATCAAAAAAATAAAATGATACAGTATGTGAAATCCCATGCATATTCAAATTATATGCCCTCAATTACTCTTTGTATTATGGATGCTCATTGGATTATTCATGGCCACATGATATGAAATAGAATTACTAATTTCCTCGAAAACCTAAATCCTTGCTACCAGGGAAGATGAAAAGTACAAATGACCAGTTAATTAGATCATGTGAGCAGTCAAAAGTACCCTTTATCTTCCCTGCTACCAGGTCTTATAGGGGTTTGAATGGCCAAATGCAATAGAAATGCATATACGAAGCTGTCATCATTAAATGTTGAAAATGAAAGACTACTTATTTGTTTCTTCAAATAGAGTACATAATAATAGGTCATATACTAGATATAGTAATCAAAACAAATAGTAACTGTCATATTTTGCACTACATTGCTCAAAGGCAATCACTGTCTGTATACTATTGAAATCTCTTTCAAAATGATGTTTTATAGTTTGTGGAAAAAAGCTAAATCTATTTAAACTAGCTTTAACTTTTACTGACCATACACTATATCAATAAGGAGTTATCTTTATGTTAGTATAGTCCCTTAAAACACTTATTTTATTTTCTCTTCATCTATGATTTACTTTGCGCTTTTCACTGAACATCTGGCATCTTTTTAGTTATTTTATTACCAGTATGTTTTTCAGATTTGTCCTTTCTTTTGCATTTTTGGGATCATTGTTTTTAGATCATCTACATTTTATTTTGGAAAAGTAACAAATTGGTTCAATTTCTTTACAAAGAGCCACTCCTAGTCTCCACTTCTACAATTGCTTCAATTCCCAATTGTACTCCACAGAGTAGCAAACAACATAAAATGAATGGATAATGATAGCTGTATCCCAATGAACAAAATGTGATTACCTAAATCGAGGTTTCATCACTTTCATTAATGTAAAATGAATTAGAAATTATTTTTCTATTTTCAAATTTCTTCCATGTGCATGTTATAAAAATTGGTTATGTCTTAGGCCCTAAGGATCTGAAACCTGCTGGTCAAAATGGAATTACGGACCAGTTGCAATGTTATTCTCCTATACCCAGTGAAAAAATCAACTGGTCTGTATCAAAAATAACCTGATAATGACCAGCGGACTGGCCCTTAGGGGCTACATTGTAATGTGCTTGGAGGTTTATGCTAAAGGGTTTATACCAAAGGAAATATGTGGGGGACCGTATTGGCATGATTGGTTTCAATGCATTGTACTTCTGCCTTAGTTTCAAAGGCAATAAATTCTTTTTGAAAGGTGTCCTGAGATTCCAAAATTAAGAAATAATTGTACTTATTTGAGAAATTGATTTTAAAGTTTTATAATTGAATTTTCTTTATTTTATTAAATAATATTCTTTGGTTTTTGAAGATTTTTTTACAAAGCAAAACATTATTTTTCATTCTAGATACAATAACATGCATATTGGCATACTTTGTTTTAATATAAGATTGTTATAACTCCAAGTTTTGCAAGTCACATGACCAATTCTTAGAGAGTTGATTGGTTGAAACAGTTGATATCAGATATGGCAATTTGAAATTAGAAATAAGCTGTTATTCTGGTGGGAAATTGTATCAACTCCATTTCCATAGTTTTAAAAAAGGATCTTGTAAATTGTTTCAAGGTATGATATTTCATATAAGATATCTCTAGGGTGAGACCAGGTGACATACAAAAAATCAAGTTTCACATAGCAATACTAAGTAAGATACAGACCTCTAAACTTTCAAACCTTGATTTCTCAGTTCCGTAAAAATGTGAGATAGTACAAAGTTATTCTCATGCGACGACCTAGCCTTGCCCAAGTCGGTCTCTTTTACTTATCTTGATTTCTATTATGACGGCCTTGTACCAAAGAGAAAGCCACGTGCTTTACCGACAGTTTGTTGATGTCGGTAAAATTTGACCAATCAACGACGGCCCTGTAGCGTTAGCTCATTATTATGCAAGGTCAAAAACAAGTATACTTTTCACCGGGACTTTTCACAACAAATCTTGCACGAATCTGATCACGAATTCATCATGAAAATACAAATATTTTATCAGATAAATATCAATGAGAGTTTAGTGGATGCCGGGACATCGATCGGATAACCAAAGGTGAGAAGATTTCAACAATAAACGTTGAAACGAACGCTGATCATGTAGAGATTCAATCACCGATCGATCGACAACATGACCCGCTACATTAGACTAGGTCTTCATGCATTTTCATCGCGATATCAGTTTTAAATCAACATTGAATCGCATGATTTAATTTATATTAATGACTCTTACCTTCCAGTGTACATTTAATTACATAATATATTGTAACTCTAAAGAAACACTCGATCAGATCATTGAATTTCAAGTCGTAGATGGGAAGTTTGTTTTGTTTATGCAGCTCAACCTAATAACGTTTTGATTGGTCATTCAGCCTGAAGTCACACGTCGTGTCCACGCGTTATCTGTCAATCAATAAGGTTTCGCGATACCCCTGATAGCGTAGGTATTATGGTAATCTCGAAACCGTTGAATATTTCCGCATAATAACAGCGGAGATGTATTGGATTGTACAAGGCGGTAATAATTCAAGATCAGATAAGTAAAAAATACCGACTTGGGCAAGGCTAGCGACGACCTGTTATCCTCAAAATTGATCTTTTTATCCCGAGTAATCGCGATAATAATTATCAATCTATTTGACAACAATTTCGTTTCGCTGGTAGTTTAATTTTACGATCCGGGACACTCAGACGAACAGACACAATGCCGGACATGCGGAAATGTCACTTTAGAGATTGGTAAGTGTAGCCTCATTTTACTCGTATAAATGAACATTTAACACAATAATATTTAAAGTTTAACGACGTTGAACTAGTTGATTTGCTGCATTAACAATTCAACCATCATATCATCTACCTTTTCTTGACTCTTTTAAGTGTCAATAACTATTGTTCCACCAATAACTATTGTTCTGAATAAATGATAAATGAAGGCAGCTTAATGTAAAATCTTCTTTGGCTGTGAATCAACATCTCACATGGCATTGTATTTTACCGCATTGGGAATTAGGCGAGGTGCACACAAGTTAAACAAGGCACTAACATGCAAAATATCACAACCTGACATTTGTTACAGACACTGACCACCAAACACCAACCATCTAACGTCATCCACAAAAAAGTTGGATATTTCAGCACTTTTTGTGGTGACATAAAATCATTACTCACCTTCACATCATCTAAGATTACTAGGGGCCCATTCACTCCAGATACAGTTTTGTAAGCTGGAAGTAAAAAATGAAACCAATTTATAAATTTCAATACATACATCATTGAATATATGATATACTTCAGTTATGTCACTATGGTGTAAAATATGCCTTATTAGCAGAACTCAGGCATATTTGATGTAGTGACATAAGCTTTAAATATTGCCTCATCGATTTCTTTTTGCCTTGCCTAATTCGAGATCATGCCACTATTGCCTGCTGACATTCCTATACAAATGAGAATAGATGAGAAAATCAGACATTTAATCATTTGTGATTTTCTATACTGTTTGGTATAGAGGTATCAACCCTTTGTAAGAGTGGTTCACTTATCTCACTCAATTACACTTTAACAATGAATCTCTGATCTCTGAGCCAATCAGAGCCTGCCATTGCTCAGCCAAAACATTTCTCCAACTATGTCTTAATAAGGACACAGACAAGATTAGTTGCTCTGCATAACTCTCTCATTGATTTAATTCAAAACTAAAAAATGATCAATATTAAAGGCAGAATCAGATCTAGCCATTACTTTTGTTACTTTGGTACTTCATCTTTACGAAAATTGTTTCAATTTTAGAATATTTTGGGCTCATATCATTTCTTGTCATGTCTTGAAGCGTTTGCCTTGTCGCTTTGTAGCAATGATGAGTTGTAAATTAATTGTAACTTTTATTGATAATAACTTTTATATTTTTCTATTATTTTAATCTAAAATCATCAATTTTTGATTCAACTAGAAAAACAGCAACTCCACGGAGTAGCAAATCCCACCAAACAAAACAATTGAATTATCAAAGATTATTATGAAACATTGGTTGCCATTTTAAATTCAGCTGTCATCTTTAGATTTCTTCTTTAGCAGACCTCCTATGTCCCAAAGCATCGGCATATAGAATTTAATCCAAATCCGTCAACTGGTACTTGAGTTATCAAGGATTACATGTTTAACCTCTTGAATCCCAGGCTCTAAAATTGGCATGAAACCAGAGAATTTTTCATTTTTTGCCACCTTTTGACATTTTATTACATACCTATACAACTTTAGATGCTCAGCTTTGTAAAATTGGACGGCAGAGATCATTTCTACACGTTTTAAAACAATTTTTGTGTAAATTGGATGAAAATTGTTCAAATGAGAGCAATTTTTGTGAAAAATTTTGTGACGGATTTTCTCGTCCCCATGGGCACCAGTCTTATTTCATTTGTGACGGATATATCCGTCACTCTTGGTATTCAAGAGGTTAATGAAAAATGGCGGAGATTTCAATAAATAGCAGCCACCTTGAAAATTTCTTCTCAAGCAGTGCTCCTTTATCTCTACGCATCAGTATTTGAAGTATCAACATTTAGAGTAAATCTGTCCAATGGTATTTGAGTTATCAAAGATTACCTTTTTTATGAAAAACGGCAGCCATTTTGAAATTCAGCTGATGCCTTTGAAATTTCTTCTGAAGAAAACATCAGCATATAAAATTGGAACCAAATCCATCCACTGGTATTTGAGTTATCAATGATTACGTTTTTTTTTACAAAAAATGGTGGCCATTTTGAAATTCAGTGGCCATCTTGAAATTGTCTTCTTGTGCAGGGTTCTTTTGTACCCAGGCAACAGCATATATAATTTGAACCAAATCCATCCACTAGTATTTGAGTTATCAAAGATAATATTTTTTCTGAAAAATGGCCGCCATTTTGATTTTAGCAGCCATATTGAAAATTCCTTCTCGTGCAGAGGTCCTACACCCACAAGGAATAAGCCTACAAAATTTGAATGAAATCCGTCAACCGGTATTTGACTTATTGCCCGGACACACGAACAGACGGCTTTTCTAAATCCCCCTCGAACTTCGTTCGGTGGGATAATTAACCTTTTTCCATATAAATGGAAAATAGATGGCATTATGGGTATTGGCTAGAGTAGGGCTAGAATACATGTAAATGTATTGCCAGAGTCACTTAATTTCTTGATTTAAGAAATAATTCCATTTGAATCAACTTAAATAACTTTTGAATAAATGTAAATAATGGTGCAAATCAAAGTTGTTTTAGAAAACATATAAAATTACACACAGAATTCAAATATGCCATCAAATAGAAGAAAATGTTAGTCTTTAATGGTTAAAAATGCAGATCTCCTAAAATCTCGTTAAAAACAAGACTTTAAGAAGATTTCAAATCTATATGGAAAAGGACCATTGTGAACAATCTCACTAGGTAAGGATTATCAAGGTGTTCTTCTATTGCCAGGCAAGCGAGACAAGGTTTAGAAATATTTTTCGCCTCATCGCTTTTTTCTTCGTGGCCAAATATATACTTTATTTGAGGAAAACTAAAGATCTTTACAATAATGCAATCATTTGTCTATAAGAATGGTTACATCGATTCTTATCATTTGGGAGAATTTAAATATTTTTGCACTTTGACAACTTCACCAATTGATAACATATCACAGATCTTTTGGGAAATATATTTGAGCATGTAAGGAACACATTGGTAGATCAATTTTACATGTACATATTGCTTGCAATTTTGTCATAGATCTGATTCTGCCTTTAAGGTCAGGGTACTGCGTCTTATATCATAGGAGATTAGCGGCAGTTCTTGCTATGACAACCATATTTAGGCTCAACTATTACAAAGATTGAAAAATCAATATTATCAATTCTCTTATCTTCCAATATGTTCTATAGATTTATATAAGGGTTATGCCAAATGTGTCATTGGAATGATCCTTCTATATGTTTTAATTGAAAGCGTGGGAATCCTATTTATATTAACTTAATATTAATTCTGTCTTTTTATGTGGAGATCACTCTTTGGGACACTTTTAAAGATATAACATTGTGTTTTTGATAAGGCCTTTGTGCAATAAATGGTTGTTTAAGTCATATCTCCATTATGTTATTATATCAAGGACATTCTCTTGATATAAGCTATTGTTAAGTGCTATCTCTTATAAATTTTTGTTATATCTCACAGTAACTAGATTTTGTGGTAGCTTTTGCCCAAGGACTACATGTGTACATATACATGTACATGTAGTACCATGTACCATTGGGAAGATACATTTTATGGTAAAAAAATTAATTAAAGGTCTACGCAATATCTGTAACTCTGATCCTAAATAACTCCCAAAATATTAGATGCACCTATAATCATCAATGCTTCATAAATTGTTTGGTGTATAAAGTAAACTCAAAACTGAAACAGGTGGAAGTACACATGGTACTCTGATTCAAGTAGGAAGACAAGTGTCATGCTGCTAACTGGGCAAAGGAATCTTCTTCCATCCTTCAAGGACTTCATTTATTACTCAATTCCAGAATTCAGAAAGAAGTGAAATACCCTTGGACCAATCTTTGAAATTTTACAAATTTGTCTTAAACAAAAATGGCGGTCATAAAAAAGAAAATAGATCGCTTTTCAAATCAAATCACATTTCCTGAAAAATTCAAAAGATTCTGTTCGGTGACCTTCCCTACCTCCTTCTTTTAGCTATTTTCAGTCACTATTTCTATTTTTTCAGTCACTATTTCATCATGTTTAGGGTCATTCCAGTCCGACCATGAACATTGTGATCCTGGACCTGTAAATGGTATTTGGAGCTAGTTGAATTGACTAAAGGTCAAAACACAACTCTGTTATCTTTGTTCAAAAAATGTCTAAAATGCAAAATTTTTTGTCACTTCCTGTTTTGTCATTTCCTGTTAACTTCCATAGCACCTTAACTTTAATTTCACCTTAATAAATGCACATTGTTTGAAAAATAAAAAATAGAAAATAACCGGGAAACCAAAAATAGGTTATATGCTCCAATACAATTTTATCTTGGGGACAATATGATTTTTACATGTATTACACTCCAATACAATTTTTTCCCAGGGACAATACAAATGAAAATTCAGAAAAATGTGAAAGTTATAAAAATATATTTTATTACTTCTTTTTATGAGCTTCTACTTATTTTATATGCTCCTAAGCATGAGAAAATGACAATCATTTTTCCTAGATAAACTGACGATGAATAGATGGTGCTGACTGAAAATAACATACAATCAAGAAAAAATTGACAGCAATAACTTCATCTTTATTGGCATCATTGGTTCCTGGATTTCAACATAGATCTGTGAAACATACAGTGAAATATGGACCTTTTCTATATAACCTGGAAATAACGTGTACAAATAAATACTATACGTCGAAATGAGGAGAATACTTGGACACCTGAAATCGTTTGTGGGCGGGTGGAATCAAAATTTTAGAATCTACTCGATTTAGTGGTAAGTATAGAGTTAAACGCAAAAACCTGACAATGAGAACAAAGGTACTTACTAAGTCGGGGTTGTGAAATATAATCCCTCTCTATAGCAAGCTTATGTGTCAGTGCAGCTTCAGTTTGGTTCATTCTTTTCCCGATGTCCGTGTTCGCCATATTGATTTTTCAGAGTCACGTGAAGAATCACGTGATGAAATCATTTCCCATCAGGCAAGCTAAATTACGCGCGAAATTTCCACAAATTCAAAGTTAAAAAGTTTTATAAATTAGTATCAAATTCGAAATTGTTTATGTATCGGGGTACGGCTAACTGGTGAATGTAATATCAATAGAGTTTCTAAATCGCTTTGAAATCTCGCAAATTCTATTTTTTCATGGGATTTTAAGATTTGCACCTCACTTTTATATCTAATAGCATATTTGAATCGTATGACAACCAATATTTTCATGTTTAATCAAAATATGTACATTGACAGGGTCATCCAATAGTCCCGCCAATAGTGTGCCATTCGAGTTTTAGACAGATTTGACCAAACACTTTTGATAAATCATGAAATAAAGCTTGCTAGTAGCATTGGAGTCAATGGAAGGGGTTTGTAGAAAAAAACGGGTACCGGGTAGTAAATCCTCCATGCTGGGTTCAAAATTGGTACCCGGAACCCGGTCGAAAAAACCGGGTACCCCAAAAAAACGAAAAATACGAGTATAACATATATCATTAGAAATGGCGTAGCCAGGAGGGGTGCAATGGTGCGATAGCACCCCCTCCCCCCATAACCAATGAAAATATGATCATGATGATAGAGATGAAAAGAGCCTTCAAATGCTTTTTCTAGCTCGATCAATTTTGAAGGAAGTTACATACATTTTTGTAAATTCAAAAGAAATCTTACACGTTTTCTAATGATACAAGGGGCGATCCATATATTCTGATAAAAATGCTCTAATTTTGTGATTTTTTCACATATCCCTTTCATTTTTTCAGAAGATGTAGATTATGTATTTACACATACGATGATGCTAAAATATTTAGCTATATCTTAAATTAATTTTGAAATAAGGTTGCCATGGTAACCTGAAGTTAGGGTAGGCAGGTCAGTTAAATTATAACGTCTAAAATAGATACATATGTTAATTTAATCATTCCTCGGTACCTATTTTAAGCAGATCCAACGCATCTTCCAGCCATTGCCAACTATTCGTTGATCTGTTCCATATCCCTGTTACCCTTGTTTGATAATGTATACAGTGGGATAGCTATCTTTTCATAAGTAACATCTCGATTTATCGTAGTGTTATTCTCTGTCCGCAAGCTCTTCTTGCAACCAGACTGTGGATTATCTTCAACGGTGACCATGTCTTCCTCTTTACAATACTACCTATAGATTCTTTATGCAGATATAACACCTTGCCCATGTACTTAATGAGTCTATGTATGTCTCTGACAGTGTCCTCTTACTTATTCTTTAAAGAAAGTAAAATATAATGGTATTCCCTAATGTATCCGTTAACGTCACACTCTGCATCAGCCACATTAACCTCATCTGACAATTTGATTTTTCGTGTGTCTCATAGCATGTAATGTCAATTGGCCCATTCTGTCCAACAATGCTATTGTGATTTGTTGTGATGTTATAGTGAGCACATTCTAGTATAAACATTTGTTTAGCTACAAACAACGAGTAACTGGAGTAACAATACCAAACTTTTTTTTTTAAAATGCATGATTTCCGCATGCTTTGTATATAAAATAATTAAAATAACAAGTGTTATTATGATATTTATATGTTATAATTTAATTGACCTGCCAACCCTTAATACAGGTTACCATATGGCAAGCTTATCTCATTAATAATTTAAGATATAGTTATAATATTTAGCATTGTACATGTATGTGTAATTACATAATCTGAAAAAATGAGAGGGATATGTGAAAAAAATCACAAAATGAGAGCATTTTTATCAGAATATATGGATCGCCCCTTGTATATGTTATATATTCGTATTTTACTACCCGGTACCCGGTTTTTTCTACAAACCCCAATGGAAGTTTGGCCCAAAAAAATCAAAGACAAACAAGAGTGACATATATGTAAGCTTTATTCAGCTTTATTCAGCCACAGGGTGCCGGAAAGTAAAGATACAAATACTCTCATTTTAAGAAATTTGGGGTTTTCGTAATGAAATTGCTACAGACAATATATTTACGAACTTTCATCTCATAAGATTTGAATGTGTTAAAGTTATGGTTGTCATGGTTACAGTGGTGGGGGTATGTGGAGCAGTTCCAGGCTATCGCTACAATTTGATAAATTGCTAAAGTATAACCAATGTTTATTATTGTATTTTCTATCAATGTTTTGTTTCGTTCAATATTGTATTCTTACTGCCATAGTATGATATATCTCAACTATGTAGGGTCACTAACCAATCAAAGAAATAACTTAGAAAAAAGGTCCCTGGATTAATAGGAAAGTCAATAATGCACCTCCACGATGCACAGAAGAAAACAAATCTTACAACTGAATGTCTTGACATTAAAACATGAAACCTTTTTGTACAATGGCCCATATTCCCCCGATAATGTCACGTTTGACTTCTACATTAATGAATACAGTATCTGAAAGCAATATTTGTTAGAAGCTCAAGATAAGTATAAGAGTGGGCTGGAAGCCAATGTTGTCAGCCGTGAATCTGAAAGAGGGACAGCAGTGGTTTTGTCAAATCTTTGAATCTCCGGTCAAGATGCACCACGAATGTTTAATTAATGGTGGGAAATACATAATACTGCCAGTGGATAACAAATAATGTCAAATGACCAAATAATATTACAGTACTAATCCTTATGTTGTTGTGATACACAAGTTGATGTAAAATAGGAACAGATGATGGCGTGCCAAGATGATATGAGCAGGAAAATTAATTATAAAACACAATTGTGACGCTGCTCCACATACCCCCAACTCCTGTTACCATAACAACCATAACTTTTTCATTTTGAAACGATATCTCATGACAGTTGCAGGATAAATTGTTATAATGTCATTCTACAATCTGTAGCAATTTCACCTCACAACAATAAAATCTATTGAAATAAGAGTACTCGTATCTTTACTTTCCTGACACCCTGTATATAAAAACTATACTATTGGTTGGGCCTCAGAATGAGGGGATTTTTATTTTAACCGGCGTCAACTCATCGTTCGCCAGTTTTTCTTTTCTAGATCTAAGCTGATATCAATCAGTATTTGTAAATAATCTGATTCATCTAGTTGGATATTTTTTTTAGATTTTCAACCATTTATATTATCACTAGTCTTTGTTCAATGGAACTACTTGCAATGTCTAACATATAGATAAGCACGCCTGTTGTAACCATCGTGTCAACGTATTAGCGTCAAAAACAATCGTACTGTTTTCTGTGCGTTGATAAAAGTAACTGATTTGGAGCAAAAGCACCGATGAGGGTTTTAAAGAGATAATCAGAGGGAAATATGTACAATTTCATTTGTAAAAATAAAAACAGCATTCTCTTTAATAGAGCTTTAACTTTCTAATTACATTTACATGTCACTTGGTTAGCGTACAATCATGTGGTCAACGTTAAGTATACTTGATTGCGTACTTATATTCAGATGCGTTATTTGTAATTTTACAGGGCGTCAAATAAGTCTGTTCTCCCCCCTTAACTTTTTTAATTCACAAATAATATAGGGTTGGTATATACCATTTTAAAGGGAATTCAATTTGCTGATCACACACCAAATTTCAGAGTGATTGGTTAAATTCCAAATTTTTTAGAGTTACTTTTAGTGATGTTCATATTTCACTTTTTTAATAGTCTGTATGTCTCCCCCAGCAGCCCGGATGGCCTCAATTCTACGAGGATATGATCCCCTACAAATTATTAAGAACGTTTAATTTTGTCTGTTATCAACTATTTTGTGATGAAAGATGCCCCTACTTCAAAAGCTCCCCTGAATGTAACACATTTTATACTGTAACGATATTGAGAAACATCGAAATCGCCCAATGTTGGCATTGTCACTGCAGTGTCATTTTCCTTTTTCATTCACTATACCTGGTAATTGTACTTATTTTGACATAATCAAAGGTCAACTACAACCTTACAAGAAAGATTGTAGCAATTTTATTAGGAGGAGTTTATGATTGATTTTTTGAGGGTGATCAGCATTTTTCATAAGCTTCGGAAAGTATGATTTTAAAGATGAAAAAGTTAAGGGGGGAAAACAGATTTATTTGACACCCTGTACAAATACAACTTTTATTATGTCAAAAACTGACGGGATGGATGAGATGATTAACAAGCTTATAACGTTGTTCATGTTGTTGTGGATCATTTGAAGTAGATGTACATATTTGCTACTCAATTACATTTGATGCTACAGTGTATATGCTTTGAGTAAATCGATATGTCACGTGAAATTATTTTTGTGTTTGTTTTAGAACATAGAAGATACATTTAGAACTTGAACCTTGAACTTCTGTCGGGTCATATTAATTTTTATTTCACAATTACCACCTGCAACAACTATAATTGGTCTCCAACGTTATTATTATTTTCACTACAGGTCAGCAAGCATATGCTTCACGGTGTACTCCAGTCTACCATGCAGTCCAACCATTAAACAGGTTTATTAAAGCATCATTTATTAATGAATGATTTTTGATTCCTAACAACCCAAGATATCCTTTTAAGATTGTGTAATGTTAGAAATAAATCATTAATTTACAACTTTTATTAAGAACTCTAGCTACATGTCATTTTCTATTGCAGGTAACATATACAGAAATTCAAAATGGCTGGCAAACTAAGTGGAATGTGTGCAGGTTCTAAGATAATCTACCTTTTTTGTCTGTTTGCTTGCTTGACAAGTTTCTTAATTGGAACTGAAACAGCCAACAGGCAATCAGTATTTACAACACTAGAGAGGAGGTTCCGCTATAAAAGCGTCACTTTAGGATTCGTTATCAGTGCTTATGACTTTGGATTTTTCCCCGGGACTATACTGTTTGGATTGATTGCGGACAGACTGAGCAGTATACCTAGACTGGTGCATGGATCTGCATTAGGTCTCTGCCTTTCAAGTTTTCTATTTCTCCTACCTCATTTAATATTTGGACCAGGTGATGATATCATTGTTAAAGATGCTATTCCAACAGAGGGCACTGAAGAGGTTGAGACAGATCTTTGTGGGATTGCAGCTACGTCCTTTGTTAACACTTCTTATCAAAGTAACAACTCATATTCAACTGCTAAGTCAAAAGAGGAATGTTCAGTGGGGCAAATCAACCATATAGAACAGGGAGTGACATCTTTTATCATAGTTGTAGCCCAGATACTTATTGGAGCCTCACTAGCCCCAGTTACCAATGTGTCTGTGAGTTTTGTAGATAGGCAACTACAGCACAAAGGCACTTCTATCTATATTGGTAAGTATATAAGTACAGTACATATTTTTGCTTTTTTGTTTGTTTGCCAGTAATCTTGTGTCTTTGCCTAGATCTTTGCATCTGTGCATAACATACCGCTTTTACAACAGGATTTAGATATTAGTATACTTAGTATGACTAAATGAAAGGGTATTACTTACAATTTCAAACTATAAATAGCATACTGGGTGGGCCAAAAGTTCACATTTTTTATTTCAATATACTAGATTAGTAATTTTTTGATTCAATAAGGTTTGGGCAGGCTATGCAAAAATCAATTCTACAATTGTCCCTGAAGTTGGATAAATAAATCTCTAGGGGTTTTTTAACATACACTAGGGGTCTATTTGAGAAATTCCAGATTCCAGAATGTTATTCGAGGCAACATGTTTACACGACTGATATCAGTACTATATCTAGTAGTCATGCGTCAAATTAAAGTACCAAATTGACATATTAATATTATTCAGTCTGTCGGAGAAACAGGGTGTTCAGTATATTCTGAAAGGATTGGTTTCGATATGGTGTACTGATTTCAACAATAGTTTTCTCTTAAACCAATTATTGAAAACATTCTGTAAAAAACAGGGTCCTTTATGTAATGTTGACTGATTGACAACAATTTAACGCGAAAATAATTTATATATATTTCATATAACTGTTTTTGTTAACATTTTTGTTTTTTAGTGCAATTGTTTTTTGGTCCTTTTTACAAATTGTTGAGAATGAAATCAAATATCAGGCTTTCCGAAGCTTGTTGGAACAAAATAGCATATACAACATTTTCTTAGACCTCTCAATATATTATAGTTATAAAAAGGAAATGTTGGTTGATTTAACAAAAGGTTAAAACATTAAGATAACCCTTTCATTTCATTAACAAGATACTTTTTTAAATCAACCAAACTTTCCTTTGTACAATTACAATATTGAGAGACCTAATAACACGTTGTGTTTATGTCATTTTGTTTCGGATAGAAGTTTCATTTCATTCCGAACATATGATACCAAGAACAAAAGAAGTGTCTGATGTGTTTTCTAAAATAATATAGAGAAAAGTATATATATTTACTTCAAATTATATTGTTACCATTCAAAAGATGACCATTGAATTGCAGACAATGTGTAAAATGTTCAGAATTTTAAGTTGACTGGTTTAAGAGAAACGTGTGTTCAAAAAATTCACCATATCGATACCCAACCTTTAGAAGCATCCATGGGCGTAGCCAGGGGGGGGGGCGATGAGTGCGAACCCCCATAACCAATGACAATAAAACCATTAGATAGAGGAAGAAAAGAGCTTCAAAATGCTTTTTATTTGATTTTTTGTAAAATTTCTCCAAAGATATCTTTTTTTTTTAAATCCTCGCTATATGCCATGATCGCACACCCCTGACCGAAAGCTTAAAAAACTGAATCAGCATCAAGAGAAAACGGTGATTTTGGAAAATCCGTCTTAACTGTGAAAGCTATTCTGAGATCTTTATGGTGCTTGATCTAGCCCACACATTACAATACCTGTTTCTTTATTTCCTTTAATTCCCAGATCAGGGGCAGATGGGATTTTGTGCTGGGGGGGGGGGGCGTTTGATAATCACTGTGAACGAAGGGAACCGCGTGAGTGAGTTTGGTGCATTCATTTGGTGCATTCTGACCATATTTCAAGGTGTGGGTGCAATTCCTGGGTCGGTTTTCAGCGTTTGCAATTGCGTTCCTGACAATTCATAACCATTTTTTTATTCCAAGTTTAAACTTTAATAATTGACCTACCAATCTATTCCTTACAATATCAAATACAATATCTCCCAAAAGCTTCACAATATGTTATAAATTGGTAAAGTTATTTTAATGATTCAAAGTACAAAAGTGGGTGGAAAATGTTTAAATTCTCCCAAATAATAAGCATGGTAGTTTTCCTTGAATAAAGTATGCACTTTTGTGATTTTTAGAAAATAGACATGACAAGGAATGACATGAGCCAAAAATATTCTAAAATTGAGACAATTTTTTGTTTAGCCTGCTTGCTATATCTGATTCTCTCTTTAAATTCTGACCATTTAGGCACCACGCCCCCGTCTAGATCCGCTAGTGCAGATTAATAGTAAATATAAATTACAAGAGAACATCATTATTTATCCAGACTTTCACATACCAGTTCCGTTTATCTTGAACCAGTACATCTAATCCTCCTTATCTGAGTGTCAATACACTCCCAAATGCTTTAATTTCTATCAGAAATATAAATTACATTAGTGTTAGTGTATACGTCATACATAACATGTTTCTCTGGCTAAATGTTTTCTGTCAATCGTGAAAGTTATTTGGGGCAATGACAATACTCATTTGTCATTGTAAAATGTCACTTTGAATTTCACCCTGAATTTTCAAATATACTCCCAATGTCTGTTTACCTTCATAATTTTTAAACCCCCTATTTATTAATATCACTTTAGAAACATTTGTGAAATTGATTTCTGCATATCCTGCCAATATTTATGGAAATCCATGCATTTTCAACAAGTTTTCAATATTTAAACTCAAGAGCTATACACAATGAAATGAAGAAGACGGCAATGGAGATGTAACTGTATAATCTCTACATGCAATTCCATGTTGCAGCATGTGTATGGGGAAGTTTCTTTGCTGGAGTTACATTTGGCTACCTCCTAGGGGCCCTCTATACAAGCTTTTATATTGACTTATCAGGTAAGTCGGGACTGCTTGTAGCACAGTAAAACCTGTGTAAGTGGAACGGCCTTAGGTATTACGCGGTAAACACGATACAAAAATATGTCATATTCCGCAACGAATATGGTATATTCACTTGCGGTGTATGCCAGATTCACCTGCGGTATATGGCATACACACTAACCAATGAGAACGTGATACGGAAGTACGCAATTGTCAATTGCATCGATTGAACGAACAAGTAAAATTTTATTAATTATGATAATGATTACTGAATCAACAGTACTGTGTATCGAATATATTAACTTAGCAGAAGTATCAGTCACCAATCTCACGTAATAAACTTACTCAATCAATCCAGGATTCATATATTAGTACTCGACGCACTAACTATATTGGTAATCCAGCGTAGTTTTACATTTAGAGTCGACTCTCGCAACCAATCAAATCAAAGCTTTCTGTATCACGTTTTCACCTGCGGTATATGTCATATTCACCTGCGGTGTATGGCATATTCCGCAAGTGAGTATGACATATTCCGCAGGTGAGTATCGGGTATTCACTGAAATCAATGTATCGCATATTCACTGCGGAATATCGCATACTCACTTGCGGAATATGCCATATACCGCAGGTGAGTATGGCATATTCACCCGCATCACAAATACCGCGCAACCATGAATGTATGCCATATACCGCGTAACATTAGGTACCTGGAATTGTGTTTCTAATTAGAAGGTGTCCCACTTCGGAATACCTAATATAAGATTATTCATATATCTTAATTACATTAATATTGAATAGTCACCAGGTCACCTGTGTTGCAGATCCAGGCATTGATGCTAATCACAGCAGTTGGATTGGTGCTTGGTGGCTTGGTTCTGTCACCACGTGTTGTCTCAGCTTCCTCCTTACATGTGCCTACTTCTGTATTCCCAGTCACATCCCAGGCCCACCAGCTATAGAGGTACATGGATTTCTTATATAATATTTCTGTGTAATTTGTATTTGATTTTATAGACAATCCTTTAACTGTTTAAGTGCGGAATAAAGGATATAAAGCACTAGATATAGTAACCGTGGAATATAGAAAATCTCTGTATAATATTAGCAGATTTACAAACATACCAATATAATACCGGGCTGATTTTTTTTAGAAAATCCGGGTTCTATAAAATAGATTTCTGGTTTAATCCGCGCTCACTTTTTATCAAAATTTCCGGGTTGAATTTGAATATCTTTTTTTGATGAGGTGCTTGTTATATTGTCAGTCTGTCAAATTTTCGTCATCTTTTATCAAAGTTCAATGCGTGATAACAATTGATTTCTGAATACCGAAACATTTGTTTAACTTCTGCTAGAAAGGATATTAAAGAAAACAAGATGAGCTTTCTAATGATGTGCTGTATATATATGTGACTAGCTATTTCAAATCGTAACATAAAACGGATGTAATATTGTCAGTCTGCATTACCACAATATTCTGTCATTTGATGCGTTACATTTAATTTATCGCTAGCCGAACGTTTGGTTCAATTCTGCTAGAAAGGAGATTGAAGAAAACGATATAAGCTTTCCGATGATGTGCTGCATATGTGACTAGCATAAACACATACGTAATGTTAACAGTCCGCAAAAAATATTTCTTCATCTATTACGTGAGCTTCATGCATTACATATATACATTTCTAATATGAAGAAGATAAAGAGGACGATGTAAGCTTTCCGATTATATGCTATATTCTTTGGCTAGCTATTCCATCACAGCACTGTACGTAATGTTGTTAGTCTGTCAAAATATTTCGTCATATTCTTAGTTCTATGCGTTATACTTAATTTTTCAGTGTCTTATATTTCATTCAATAGACACCCCATGCAGACAGATCGCCTAAAATTACATTCGTATGATGCGAGACTCGACATTCACCAGGAAACTATAAACATTTTGTCACCCATGAAGCAAATTAATATTTTACTGCTTAATAAATGGTGAATGACAGCCACGTGATTAAGTTCTATAAGTATGAGAATAGCATGACGTCTTGATATTTTTACTCGTTTGAAAAGTGATGGCGGTGATTGAAACTACGATGTAACGATAAAACCGCAACGAAATATTTGTAGATTTCTTTGAAAAACTAAGAAATATACATCACATATCGAATTTTTCAAAATAGAAAAACATGTAACTTATAAATAGCAAGTCCTGCAGGTCCGATTCCCCCTGGTAGCATTAACATTGGTCCGTTGATTTACATATTTGTCATTTTCTTTGTAGGTAGGCAGAGTAAAATGAGTTTATTTGAATGTCTGCTGTATACTCATGCACAAACAGATTCAATTAACTCTGATCACCTTGAATTACATCTTCTATAAAATATTTATTCATGTACTGGTTGAAACTTATTTGAATAAATATCAAATAGTCAGCAAAATAAATGTTCGTATCAATATTCAAAACAATTACTGTTTTTATGTTCAGATTGATAAAGAAGATAAGGAGGAAAATGAGGAAATTGATCTCAATAATCTCACTAAAAATAAGACTGAATATTCAGCAATGTTGGGTGATAATAATGAAGATCAACACTACATTAAGGCTGAGGAGGTCATTGGGGCAAATGACAATAAACATGATAGGCAGTTCGAGAGTGATGCTGTGGGGATTGAAATGGACCATCTTAATTCTAATGCTAGTTCAACTGATCCCAAAAATACAGGAACTTTGCAGGCTTTTAAAAAACTAGTTTGCAATCCTGTATATATCGGTAAGAATACACTTAAATACAATTTTTGGAATATTGAACATATTTTATTTTACATAGATTTATCATCATGATTTGTTGATAAAATGATTGTGCAGCTGATTGTGTTATATTTTGGTTGTGCTTTAGGTCTTGTAATAGGAAATTTCCCAGCTGTGTGGATATATGGGATGTATGGGTCCACATTTCTACCTAAGTACCTTGAGACACAGTTCCACACAACTGCCTCCATGTCAAACATGCTTGCAGGTAAAAGTAACAGCTACAGGCTCAGGAACATGTCTCATTAGCTCAATGTTGAAGTTTGTCCAATCAGAAGACTCACTTATATTTTCTAAATAGACAGCTCCTCCTCTGATAGGATGTAGCTGCAATATAATGTAATTATTCATAAAAGTTTGTATTCTAGCTGCAACAGTTCTATTACAGTAAATCTCGTATATCTGAACACCGCCTTAATCCAAACACCTCTCATAATGAACAGCACTCTCTCTCAGTCCCAATTTCATAATTGGTAATTGTTATGCAGATCTATACTGTTCTAGCTATACTAGGAGGAGGTGGTACAACATTAGGGATGATAGTCAGTGCTATCATCCAGGAGAAGTTCAAGCTGACTCTGAGACAAACATTGAAGCTGATAGTAGGGGGTTCTGTAGCAGCTATGTGTATACCACTGATCTTCCTTACATTCAACTGCCACCAGCCACCACTTACAGGGCAAATTGACCAGCAGGGCGTGTAAGTGTCACAAATGAGCAAAATTATTAGGGGAGTGAGATCAAGTGCCCCCATCCATGAAATAAAGGACCCTTTGCACTTTGCCCAGTAACTGCTTTAAAATGTACACGGTAGTATTCTAAAAGAACCCAAATCAGTATTATTTACACTCCTTGTTACATGTAATATAACAAGAATTGATGCTGTATTCTAGGTCAGAAAGTCTGTCATGTGTTGCCAACTGTGCATGTGATGTCACAGTGTCTCCAGTGTGTGTAGATGGTACAACAAGTTACTTTTCTGCTTGCCTGGCTGGCTGTAAACAGACCGAGGTTATAAATGATCAACAGGTACTAGAATGGCTATAACTAGTAAAAGACGTTGCTTATGAATTATAGTGTTAAAATGATGCTGCTTAGATTAAAGGGTATTTATTCACAATTTTGTATTCTATTGTAAATGTATTCTATCATGTCGATTTCATTTCCGACAACAACATTTGCGCAACAAGTGAAAATTGAAGCACATGAGAGAGCACAAAGAGAATTTACAGTACAAGAGACGAACTGCCGAGGAAACAGCGGCATAATGCAACACAACAACAACAATTCCGAAGTGCAAATCATACAATTCACATCTTGCTAAATCTGTAAATGTATTATATTTTCAGTACTATTCCAACTGCAGCTGTCTCCATGGCAACAGCTCAGTTGTTAAAGGTTGGTGCCCCAACAATTGTACTCCTATGGTAACAGGCTACATCATCTTTTGTTTTGCTTTGTTGATGATAGTAACAGGAACACAACTCGTGCTACCAGTCACTTGTGTCCTTCTGTAAGTATACACTGTGGTATAAGTCTAATATTTCTTACATACATCCATATACAGGGTGGTCCAAAAGATGTTGCTCACATGAAACAGCAATTCTTCTTTCCTTCATCAAAAAAAATTAAAAATTAATAGAAGTTGAAGTGAATTACTTATATATTAAAATGGGTGATTGTACTAAAACAAGTTTTTCTCTAAAACTAAATGGAATTATCTGATAAATATTCCTTTATCACTCACAGTGTTATTCCGCATGTTGACCTTGGAACAATTCTTTTGGACACCTTGTATAACTGTTTATACCATTCTTAAACCATATAAAAAGTGAGGGAGCATGGTCGTACCTACATTTTAGTCAAGAAAAGGTCTACCGTCTGCTCATCAATTTTGACAGTTTTGCTATTGCAAGATATTCTAAAAAGTTGTCTGTTTCTACAAGAAGTACTCGAAGGCAAGACCGATTTTATGGAGTCACCAAAAAGCCGGCTTTTATAGTTAACAAGAAGCCGGCTTTTAAAAACTGGCTTCTGGAATCACCACGAAGCCGGCTTTTAAAAATTGGCTTCTTACTTACTGACGTAAACAGAAGCTCACGATCATTTTGATGTGCTTTATGCATCTTATGTTCGTATAACTTTTATGAATATGAGAAATAATTGAAAAATACATAAAATCTTAACATGATTCTATTTTTTGCAAAAAGTTATTTTATACCAAAACTATAAAGGTAGCCAGTTTACAAATCGGTGCGCTCCATTTAACATATTTAGGGACAATCTAGCGACTGGAAATGATTGAATACTGTCTCCCGATTATTTTGATGTGCAGTATGCATCTTATTCTCGTATAATTTGCATTAAAATTAGAAAAAACTGAAAAATACGAAAAATCTTGACAGATTTCAAGTTTTTTTGCACTTCTTCAAGTCATTTTATGCCAAAACTATAGTTGCACTATAAATAATCCCCATGGGATCATAATTTCTTTTACACCGGTGTGAAAGAAATGATGGTCCCCCAGGGATTATGGTCCCCTTTCTTAACGGCCCTTACTGGCCCTGATTGCGTATAAGATAATGAGGGAAAGAGTTGTATTTAGGTCACCATATAAATCAAAGGAGAGTAGGACCATCATTTGAAAGGACCTCCTACCCTTTTACACCGGCTTTAAAAGCAGATGTGAAAGAAATTATGGTCCACTGGGGATTATGGTCCCCTTTCCTTACGGCCCTTACTGGCCCTGACTGTGTATAAAATAATAAGGAAAATAATTGTAATTAGGTCACCATATAAATCAATAGAGAGTAGGACCAAAATTTGATTGGACCACCTACCCTTTACTCCGCTTTGTATATTTGCCATCGACCCTTTCTCGTTTCGACACTGAACAAAACGTTTTCCCGGAAATATTAGAAGGGGAGATACACAGAGGGAGATATCCATTGAGATTTATACTTTACGTTCGCTTCCCCAAGATATCACTTCTATATGATTATCCCGCTGTTATGTACCTGAAACCTCACTTGTCATACATAGGATTTTTATGTCTCTGCCTCATATATCCACTTATAATTAAGAAACAACGTATGAAATCACATCATTCACAAATAAATGAATGACCAGAAATGAAAAAGAACAATTGCATAAAAGCATTGTCCATTTCTTTCTTTGTAGCATTGTGGAACCAAAATATAGTAATTATGGTTTAGGACTACTGATGGCTGTTCAGTCACTTTTAGGTGAGTCTTGAGTTTGTCTAATTTGCTGTCCTCATCTAGGTGGATTCCTTCGTACCCAACACAACATGCCGATACTGATTTTTTGTAAATACTTCAAATCAGTAAAACATAGTAAAAACAGTAAAGAAGTACGCTCATTAAATATTAAGGCATATTTCAAATCTTGTCAGGCGTGTGATCGAATAATTTTGGCTATGTACTGCCCGAGCATGACATTTTATTATAAGAAATAATTTTTAAAATTAAAGTAGCACATTATTTTTTAACTTGAAATCTACTGATGGGCACTCAAAAATCAAAGTAACCCAGACACTTATGGTCAGTGGAGCAAGACACAACAGCGTAATTCTGACTGCACATATTCCATCGATCACCTATACCTGAGGCACAAGTACTATTCAGTTATAACATCATATTTAGGGGATCCTTCATAGAAACATTTGAAAACTAAAGTTTCCCTAAGTCCATTTTTCTTTTCTACGATGCCATCATATGCATAGCTACAACAACTGAATCTAGTAATTATACTCTGGGTTTTCTATTCGACAGGGTGGTTTCCAGGGCCAACAACTTACGGTGGTGTGATAGACTCAGCATGCCTAGTGTGGGAGAGTAAGTGTGGAGAGAGAGGCAACTGTATGGTATACGACACTCGGTTGTATAACTACCGTTATAACACATTCACATCCCTCTTACAAGTTGTAGCGATATGTGCCAATTCGTTTGCATATCACAAATGGAAGAAAGATTCTGATAGAAAAACAAATAATTTAAAAGTGACTATTGCTGACTGAAATTACCAGGGTTACCCCCAGAAACACTGATCTGGAGTATTCATTATATAATCATTGTTATAATCATTGTATAATCATTGTTATTATTCATTGTATAATCGTACAATCCTAAATCTCATCTGATATAACAATTGTGTTGGTGAGCTGGAATATTGTAGAATATACACTTCTTAGACTGAAATATTTCATAATTAATGTATACTTCTATAGCTAATCTAGAATATTGTATTTTATTAGTACTTCAATTAAAATACTCAATTCTGATTGGTTGATTAGCGGTCAACAATATGTACTAGGTACTGTTGACCGCTACTTTTGAAAAAAAAGTTTTTTAAATGTTGATTTTTTTGAATTTGAAAAAAACTGAAAAAATGTTATATTCGACGGTTTGAAGATTTTTTTGCTAAAATATGATACCTACACTTATGAAATATGTTCACGTGATATTCGATAATATATCCTTCCAATTATTATATTCTTCGGACTAACAAAACAATTGTTAACCTCTCTATTCGGTCAACTGGGAAAATTGTATACTTCAACAGTAAACCTTGAGAGTACTATTGACCGATACCGGGGGTCAAGGTTTACAGTATCGGTATACAATTTTGCCAGTTGAACTCAAGAGAGGTCTACAATTGTTTAATGTACCATACAGCTGATCTTGAATATTGTATACGTATAATCCAAAAGCTGATCTTGAATATTGTACAATGTATACTTCCACCGCTGATCCGGAGTATTATTATACGCATCCTTGCAGCAAGGGTAAGCACAGTATTTTATATAAATGAAGTCCTTTGAAGAAGGATGTATAATGTACACTTCTACAGCTGATCTTGAATATTGCATAATGTACCTACACATCTCCAGATTATAGTACTAACTGTTAAAGAACCCATAGGGCCTATTTCAGCAAGGGTGCCATACCCCCATAAATGTGGCTTCGGTTTTTCGGCTTGTTTCGGCTTTTTTAATTTTTGACTTTAATAAGGCAAACCTCATGCTATCACTAAATGTCAAAAATAAGAAAAGGGCAAAACACCCCCACATTCATGGGAAGGGTACCACTGACTTAACATGGGGTTGTAGCCTGTAATTGACTTTAATCCTGCATATCTACATTACCAATTATTTTTTCGAAAAATATGACATTGAAAAAATTGTTCATCTTTTAATTTTCAAATATTTCAATATCTCGCCATCCAAAATTTTAGAAAGAAAAGTTTAGATTTTTAGATCGTCAAAATCAAAAACAACATTAAGAACAACTAACTAACAACACTAACACATTTTCCCCTTTTACTCTATTGAATAGACCAGGCAAAATGCAACTAATCAATCAACTAATCAATCTATGATTTTACGCATATACAGTATAAAATGTTTAACATTCTCAGTCTGTTCAGAGACATATAAAACATATGTCTCTGGTCTGTTAAACTCATCTTGCACCAAGACCATCTCTTCGATTCAGAATCAAAGAAATGGACGTCTTGGTACGCAGAATACGAAGTAAGTAACAATGATGTTCATGGAACAGAATTACCAGGTTGTAACGAAGATGTTAAGCTGCTCCAATATGCAGATGCTGATTCTACTATTTTTGTAAAAATCAGCAATCGTTTTTAAGATGTATGATTTTGAAGCTATATAAGTATATAAAGTATATTTAAGTATATAAAGTTAAATGGAAACTTGGTCATGAAAATAATATAAAAGTACTTGGTATAACAGTAAGCACTCCATTAAATGTTGTGAGAAATGATTGTAAATTTTGTATAATTTGAAATTTAAAAGTTAAGGAAATGTATGAATATTATTAAATCGTGGTCAGGCAGATATCTTACCATTGGAAAGGTAATCTTAGCCAAAGCTCATCGTATCTAAATTTTCATATATTATGCAGGGTTTTTATTTTACCAGACAACTTACTAAATATAATTAATACGCCGCTTTTTAAATTTTTGTTGTCCAATGGCAAATATAAAGAGGAGGATCTTAAAAGGATCCCTGATGAACTTAAGCGTGGCCTAAAAATGATTAAATTATTTTGAATTGCAATCAGCCTCTGCCATTCAATGGATCAAACGATTGCAAGGTGAAAACAGGGGTCATTGGAAGTGTATTCCATTGTACTCGTATATGTTCAATAAGGTTCATTCATGAAAATAATAGCATTCTGTGGAATAATTGTAACATAACATATACAGGGTGTCCGGAAAATAAAGATACAAATGCTCTAATTTTAATAGATTTACCTGTTGTGAGATGAAATTGCTACAGATTGTAGAATGACATTTTTACAATTTATCCTTCAACTGTCATGACAAATTGTTTCAAAATGAAAAAGTTATGATTGTTATGGTAACGGTAGTCCCGGTGTAAAAGGGTAGGAGGTCCTATCAAATTATGGTACTACTTTCCATTGATTTATATGGTGACCTAAATACAACTCTTTCCCTTATTATCGTATCGACAATCAGGGCCAGGAAGGGCCTTTAAGAAAGGGGACCATAATCCCTAGGGACCTTAATTTCTTTTACACCGGGTATTTGGAGCAGTGTCACAATTATGTTTTATAATTCTTTTCTCCTACTCATACCATCTTGACACTCCATCAATCATCTGTTGCTATTATACATCAAATTATGTACCACAACAGCAAAAGAAGTAGTACTGTAACATTATTTGGTCATTTGACATTACTATTATATACTGTTATCCAGTATTATGTATTTCCCAACATTCTAAACATTCGTGGTGCACATTGACCAGAGATTCATAGACCTGACAAAACCGCTGCTGTCCATTTTTCAGATTACTGATATAATTGGCTTCAAGCAGAGTCTCATTTTCATGTTGAACTTCTAACAAATATTGCTTTAAGATATTCATTAAAATGTAGAAGTCCAACGGGACATTATCAGGATAATTTAAAAGTTTTAATGTCAAGACATTCAATTGTAAGATTTGTTTTCTTTGCCTTGTGAATTGGTGCATTGTGGAGGTGCACTATTGACTTTCCTATTAATTCAGGGACCTTTTTCTAAGCACTTATATAATGTTTCTTTGATTATACTGGTTAGTGACATTACCCCTACATAGTTCTGATATGTGTCAGTGATATCATTATACTAAAGAGAATACTTTGGCAGCAAGAATACAATATTGAACAAAACAAAACATTGAAAGGAAATACAAAAATAAACACTGTTTCAAACGGTTAAATTCTAGCAATTCATGACAATTTAGTGATATCATGGAACTGCTCCGCATACCCCTGACCACCGTAACCATGACAATCGTAACTTTAACACATTTAGACTTTATGTTATAAAGGTTGGTAGATGTATTGTAATATAGTTCCTCTACAATCGGTAGCAATTTCATTACAAGAAACCTAAATCTCTTAAAATTAGAGTGCTTGAATCTTTACTTTCCGGACACCATGTAGTGCTCACTCCTTGTTTTTTGTAATTGGATAAATAGAGGAATAATATCTATAAATGATGTTAAAAATGGTGAACTATGTACTTGTGAGGAAATGATATATAAAACTGGAAAAACTGGTCAAACTTTACTTTGTAACAATATAATATGCTTAAAGCTTGCATAAAACATGAATTGTATGAATTAAATAACGTTTAAGCAAAGACTATGATGTAGGTTTGATGCAGGTTTTCAAAAATAAATTTGAGGAATACATAAAGGATTTCATGTTTGATTTCGCGTGTATTCGATTTCAAAGACATTTGTTTTTTAAATTACGTTAAAAGATCTTCGAGCAGTGCTCGATTTTTTTCGTTGTTAGTCTACCCATACAATTGTTCGGTTGGAAAAATGTTGTTTTTACACATTTCCTTTGATAATTTTCTCCCCTGACGTCTCAGAGTGTCGAATATTTTTATGAGAATGTGTTTCTCTAAACTACACAGTTAAAGACGGGTGAAGATTTAATAAATATTCATGCATTTGGCATAATTTAAAAAATCAGAAATGTACGTTGTCAGCTCACAGTGTATGTTGTCCCTGTAATTGAAATTTATTAGTTACAAAATTAAACATTGCAATGATTTAATTTCAAAATGCATTAAGGGTTTTATGCGTAACAAGTGATGTTCAACGAACATGCTCCTGTGTCCCTAGTACAGATAGACAGGTAAAAGTGATTTTTTCGTTGAATGCTATTTTATTTTATGAAAGTGTTAATATGGTGATTAATATGTGACCATGGCGTGTTATCTTCCGACCTCTTTGACCACTCGGCGTCGGTACGTTATGTTATGTTTAGTTGCACTTTTTATGTCCCCACCACATAGTGTGGGGCCATATTGTCGGCCTAGGCGCGTCCGTCTGTCCGTCTGTCCGTCTGTCCGTACGTCCGGCAGTTTTCTCCAAAACCGCTACAGATATCACCTTCAAATTTTCAGGGATAACTAATGAGTGCATACAGATGTGGATGAAAAAAAATTAACTCGATACCTACTTCCTGTCGGCCATTTTGAAGTCAAATGCTAAAATCCTTGTCTGCAAACTTTAAGAAAAACGGCTTCACAGTTGCTTTTAAAACTTTAACATCTTGTTCAGCTCACTTCATTCTAGATCTGATTAGGTTTTGGACCTGTTAGCTCAGTCATGTCAGTCATTTTGAATGTTTTAAGAAAAGTTAGCGCACGATATTACTTTGTATCATATTGAATGGTGTTTTTCAGTTTTCATACTTTAACTATTTAGTAGCTTTATAAATAATTTCAGGTGTACTTTGTTGTAAAAGCCTATGTTATTGTTAACAGTAGTTATATGTGATAATTTTGTAAAAGGAAATTAGCAAAAACTCATAATCACTTTTTTATTGTCGGCCATTTTGGATTTTTCCGTCCTAAAATCTAGTGTGTAAAGTCTTGTCTACGCGTTTTCAGGTGAACCGTTTGGTAGATCAATTTCAAACTTTCAGGGATGATTCTTAGTATGAAAATCTAGATCTGATTAGTTTTTGGGCATTCTGGGTAAATGTCAAGGCAGCCATTTTGGATTTTCCGTCCTAAAATCTTGTCAGTAAAGTCTTGTCTACGCATTTTCAGGTGAACCGTTTGGTAGATCAATTTCAAATTTTCAGGGATGATTCTCAGTATGAAAATCTAGATCTGATTAGTTTTTGGGCATTTTGGGTAAATGTCAAGGCAGCCATTTTGGATTTTCCGTCCTCAAATCTTGTCTGTAAAGTCTTGTCTACGCATTTCCAGGTGAACCGTTTGGTAGATCAATTTGAAATTTTCAGGGATGATTCTCAGTATGAGAATCTAGATCTGATTAGTTTTTATGCATTCTGGATAAATGTCAAGGCAGCCATTTT